GCCAAGAATTTAACATAAATGTGAAAATGAAATGAAAATATATTTTGCAAAAAAATAATAAATAGAACAGGTGTTGTGCTAGATAGCTTCAATTGTCAACTTGACATGTGGCGAAGAGGGAAAGTTAATTTAGGAATTTTCACTTTTGGGCTGTCATGTGGCCAGTGGCTGTAAGTCATTTTCTTGATTGCTGAGAGACGTGGGAGGGCCAAACATACTGTGGGCATTGGCACCCCTGGGCAGGGAGTCTTGGGGATAAAGGGAAAGAAAGAGCTCAAGAGAGGTAGGACCATAGGAGAAGGGTATTAGTAAGGGAGAAAGGGGGGAAATGGGGGCACCTTGCTTGGGAAAACCATGATGTAGGGGTGAGACAATGTTTGAGATAAACAATGCCCAGCTAGTTTTGAAAACCAGAGGAAACCATATTACTCCTACAACCTACTGACAAATTATACATTGCAGATCAAGGTAAGGTTTATCTGAGAACAACTGGTCTTTGCCCAAGATTTATCTACATGACACAATGTAATTAAAAGTACCAGACTGGTGGAACTAACCTTCTTGGATGTTTAACATACATACTTTGAGGCCTATAATAATTTGGTCAGAGGGACATAAAGGACAGTTTTTGCTCCTTGCCCTCCTGACTATGAGCATCTCTCAAAATGTCCTATAATGGTGGTGGGTCACCTGTCCTCTTGATCAAGGAGGCTGAGGAGACCCCACCAGACGGACTTGAACCAATGTCCAATCTATAAAGAGGAGGGTCAACACAGAGGAATCACTACCTTCATGCTTCCAAGCGAAGCCAACCATGGTCGAGTAGGACATTTGACTTATCTTCACCCAGGCAGAACTGGTAAAAGAAAGAAGCCAGGGTCTCCTCCCAAGCCCATGTGACCCCTGAGGAACAGATCCTTAAACGACCTTAAGAGTAAAAATAAATCAGCTCATCTGGACCAACTGTATGGCCTTAAACACCCAAAAGGAAAGTATAACCAAAGATTAAATGTGCCAATATAGTTTCATAAGAGTCCATATGTATAGCCAAAGGCTACATAAGAAGCAACAATGCCAGACAGGTGATACCTTCTTTTGAGTTGTTGGCCAGGGTGGCCAAAGGGATTCCCAGATAGTAACCCAGCATAGAACTGGGAAAATGAACAGCAGACCCCAGTCTTATTCAAAGGAATATTGATAATTGATTACCACTAGATGAGGAACAGCTAACCCTCCTAAAACAAAGACCTCTAGATAGGCTGACTAGATTCACCTGAAGGGCAAGTAGTGGAGAATGGCTGGGGGTGCCAACAACACAGCAGACAGTAGCAGGGATATCAGAGTAAAGGGCTCTAGTTGGGGGAGGGAGGCTATGGGAGGGTGCTCTCTGGGAAGTGGGTATAAAAATTTTTTTTAAAAAATTAAAAAATTCTTCAAAAAAAAGACTCAAAAAATTACCAATTTTCAAAGAAATATTCTGTCACATTGACTTTAAGACATTACAAAAAATTATCTTGAAAAAATAGGACAACAGAAAAATAGATCCAAGTTAAAAAGCAAAATAAAACAAAACAAAACCAAAAAACAATAGCCACCTACTGATCTATCTAATCTGACATTCAAATAGTCCACCACTGAAATAGAACAATAACTTCAGGCATTTCACAGAATGGTATTTCATATTTTTGTTAATAAGGTTTGTTTTCTTACCAGATTACTCACAGAACCCTACATTTATTCTCCTTCGAAACAAATACTCATTACAAAATACATACTTCCAATCATATTCACTTTCATCAATTACCCTTACTCATCAAAGAACACAGTTTCATTTTCTTTAAATAGAGAAAAACTCACCTCTAACAGGGGGTCTTTCTAGCTCAGAGTCAAGGTGAATCGGAGGAGAGATGTACGATACCTGTCCATGATGCACCAGTCCTGTGGACACAAAAAGAAATGTTGAGAAGCCATCAAAGGGACAACAAGATGTCTCTGTGGGTAAATGGACCTGCTACCTAGCCTGATCACCCAAGTTCTATCCCTGGTTGTCCTCTGACCTCCAAACATGTGGTCTGCATGTCCTCTTCCCCTCCACAAATAGAAGTAAATATTATATAATAGACAGCATACTTATGCCTTGTACTTTAAAAAATTTTTATGATGGAGATGGAGAGCACTGACTGCTCCTGCAGAGGACCAAGTTCAGTTTCTAATACCCACTGTCTGTAACACCACTGCAGTTACAGATCCATGGGATCCGATGCCCTCTTTTGGCCTCTGTGGGCACTGCAAGACACCAATGCACTTACATGCAAGCTAAATACTCATACACATAAAAGAAAAAAAAAAATTTTTTTTTTGGTCTTTTTGAGACAGGGTCTTCCTGTAGCCCCAGCTGTCCTGGAACTAAAACCTTCATAGGATGCTGTGTTTTTTTATTCCACACTGAATTAATAGCCACCTTAGACTGTAAAACAGTCTGCTGAAACAT